AGTGTCTTGGATTTGGTAATTAGATTAGCATAACTTTTGGATCTGATGGATTTAATATCTTTTTTTTTTGGATCCTTTTACCTTGCTGCAGTTCCTCCTGCCATTTAATAGATCATTGCTCATTTGGTTTACTTTTATTGCAGTGAATATTCTAGTGTTGGCTTTGGCGAATTTGATTGGTGGACTTACTCTCATTGTTCATAATGTGAGTGAACATTACAATATTTCATTATATCCATGTTATTCAATGAACAGAGAGAATATTTTTATGTTGATTTAGGTCTCCTTTTCAAAATTTATAGAAGAGAACTTGAGCTTTGATGCATTTAGTTTTGCTATCATTTTGGATGATGCAAATTATGTAGTCAGATGGTTATGAACACATATAGGTATATATAGATTCTCTCTATAGGGGTTAATATATTTTGATGCTATTCTATTTCACCAAAGCATATTCCACTGTTGCCGATAAATCTTAGGTTGCATTTGGTTCAATTCTTTTTTGTTTCTAGTCATCTATAGTTCTCGTTATAATAGTTTGATTGTGCATACTTAGATAATAATTTGCTGTGTTTAAATTTCTCAACTCCCACTATGAATTTGCAGATGATAGGAATTTAACCATCACTTTAAATGTGTGAATTGATTTTCACTGCTGGAGAATTAAAGTTGAGTTTGTCGTAACTTAAACACAATAAATTACTTATTTATGTGTATAAGAAAATAATAAAAAATTAAAACTAAATTGATTAGAAATTAATTTTTTTTTTGAAAAAAAACCCTAAATCAACGATGGAAGTAGCTTTTATGAACATCTATTTTGTTGTTGGCTTCTGCTAGCGTTTTAGTTATTTTTCAATTTGGACTCACATTGTGGTTTTTCAGCTGAGAGAATTGAGAAATGATGATCCCCGGCCAACTACTGACCAATTGAATGAGCAAGAAGATCGATACGAACGGCTACTTGGGAAGAGACGGAATTATACAATTCATGCAGTAGTAGCTATCATATCATTCATTGTGTTTGGGTTGGTCCCTCCGGTTTTATACGGCTTCACATTTCAGAAAACTGGCAACAGAGACTATAAACTTGCGGCAACTGCAGGAGCTTCTCTCATATGCATCACTTTACTTGCTATAGGGAAGGGTCATATTCAGAATCGATCGTACATTAAGACTGTATTGTATTATTTAAGTATAGGGTTTGCAGCCTCTGGAGCTTCTTATGTTGCAGGTGACTTGCTAAATGAACTTATTGAGAAGCTGGGGTGGCTCAATCCAAGTCCAAGTCCAAGTCCGAGTTCAGGTGTTAGTGTTGCCATGTCTTTTTCAGACAAAATACTGACGGGACAGGGATGGGCATCAAACTGAGTTTCTTTCTCCTGCTCCCATGGAACTAGTAACTGGGGATTTGCTGTGAAGTTTCTGATTGTAAGAGTCATAGACTCAAGTTTTTAGAGGAGTTTCTCTGTTTTCCAAGTTGAAGATGAATTTTGTAATGCTGCCTTTTTTCGTTTTGCTGTATTGTTATCTGTTCTTTGTACTTCATGATGAAACCTTGGAAACTTATTTATGGTGCA